CAGGTGGATCTCTGTGAGTTCAAGGCCAGCCTGGTCTACATAGTGAGTGCAGGTCAGCTGGGACTACAGGGAGACACTGTCCCAAAAAGACAAAAAAAAAAAAAAAAAAAAAAAAGAAAAGAAAGAAAAAAAAAAGAGCACTATGCTCTTGCAGGGAAACTGGGTTCAATTCCCAGCACCCACATAGAGGCTAACAACCATCTCTAACTCCAGTTCTAGAGGATCCAACAGGTGCATGACACAGGTGCACTTGCAGGCAAAGCACTAATACACATAAAATAAAAAATAATAGGGGCTGGAGAGATGGCTCAGTGGTTAAGAACACTGGTTGTTCTTGCAGAAGACCCGGGTTCAAATCCCAGCACCCACATGGCAGCTAACAACTGTCCGTAACTCCAGTTCCAGGGGATCCAACAGCCTCTTCTGTCCTCCGCAGGTATTGTGCGACACGGGTGCATTTACCTACATGCAGGCAATACATACATACACATAAAAATTTTAAAAAAAATAGATAAATAACATTTTAAGATAATTTTAAAATTTAGGAGCTGGAGAGAAGGCTCCCAGTTAAGAGTGCTTGCTGCTCTTCCAGAGGACCCGTTTGATTCCTAGCACCCACATTGGAGTCTCACAACCATCCATAGCTCCAATTCCAGATGATCCAATGCCCCCTTCTGGCCTCCAAGGGCTCCTGCCCACACATGGTACATATATACTCATACAGGAGCCAAATTGGGAGGAGGATGCACACAGTAGGACAGAAGGAACGAACTATCAGAGTGGGGCAGCAGTCTGGGTCCACCTGCCCTCAGCCCTTGTTAGTTAGTCCTAAGGAAGATCAAGTAGCACGGCTATAGAAGAACTCCAAGAGTAGATGGTGAGTGAGGTTTGAGGTCACGCCTGTAATCCCAGAACTCAGAAAGCTGAGGAAAGATAGATCAAAGAAATCTAAAGAGGAAGCAGAGGGTGAAGGGGCCCAGACATGCACCACCATGTGCAGCTTGAAAAGTATATTCCTGTGGGACTGAAGCAAATAACCAGAAATGCAAAGAGATGAAAAATAGAGTGGCCCTTGAGTGTGGGGACAGAAGTGGGATTCCTACCTTGAATAGAAACATGGCTATGAAAGAGACTGGTGCTTTCTACTTACTCTCCAGATGCCTTTGGCTGAAGGGAAGCAAGGGGTTCAAGTAGGTTCAGGCTTAAAATTAATGCTGGGAAATGGGCAAAAGTCCTGGTGGGCTACCTGAGCTGGAGGCAGAGCCCACAGTTCAGGGGACAGTCTCCATAGCATGGACAGAGGATAGAGTGGGGAGTATATGGGAGTTCTGCTCAGCAGCTTCTCCCTCTTGTATGCCTGAGTAGATGGGTGGGACCCAGGGGGCTCGATTGTCCCTATATCTGTAGGGGTCCATGGGATTGGTGACCATATTTTGGACCCTGATCTTATGTACATACCCCTTAACAGAGAAGGGAACACTATGGAGGAGGCGACCCAGACCGCGTAGCATCTCAGCCTTGTTCTGCCCACTCTGCCCCTAAGGACATTGATTGTTGAGTTGGTGAGGGCCCCCCTCCTTTACCCCGGTCAGAGAGGGGGCTCTTGACATTTGCCAGGGCGTAGGCGCAGCTATGTGTGCCCTGAAGCTAGACTCAAAGTACACAGCAGAGAAAAAGGGTCATACGCGGGGGCGCACGAATCAGGCTGATTTTATTGACCAGACAGCGGGGCCTGGCTGGAGCTGTGAGCTGCGCATGTTGAAAACAGCCGCGATTGCTCCTGGGTCAGGCAAGCTGGGTGTCTCAGGTTCTCAGGGCAGTCCTGGAGCCTCACAGGTCAGCAAAGATGATTTGCTGCAGGGACCGTGGCCGGGCACGAAGTGTCTCTCTGAAGGCTCTAGGAAGAACAGAGCAAGACTGAAGATAGAGACTAGCATCCCCGACTCTGTCCCCATGATGCTAGGGAAGGGACTACTCCAAGAAATTCTCCCAGCACAGTGGGATAGACTGGACAGGAAAAGCCAGGCACAGTGGCCTCTCCTGTAATATCAGCACTCAGGAGGCTGAGGGAGAAGGATCATTGTGAGTTCGAGGGATCTGGGTTATTGAATGAGAACCTGTCTCAAAGAAACAAAACAAATAAGGGCTGGAGATTTAGCTCAGTTGGCAGAATGCAGGACCACATAAGCTAGGCTTGGTGGTGCACACCTACAATTCCACCACTTACTTGGGAGCTGGAGGAGGAACACAAGTTCAAGGCCAGCCTGAGCTACATGAGTCGCTGTCTTTAAAAAAAAAAAAAAAAAAAGACCCGGGGCTTATGGTATTAGACCTCCGGAGATCCCCTTGCCCGCTGCCACCCCTGCCGCCTCCTTCTCCCACTTACCTGGCCGACTCCTCCAAGGTCCAGGAGCGGAGGCTGAGCTGTTGCTCCGGTTTGCCGGCCGGTTCGAGGGCGCGCGGGGTCCGGCGTGCATGGACTGGGAGCCCTGCTGGTAAGCTCTTGCGTCGCGCCTCCCACAGCTTTTGCGTTTGTGAAGGAAGCAGGAGGAGAGCACTGCGGGAGACGGACCCCGGGATCAGGGTGTCCCAGGCCGGACCCAGTGCACGGCGCCACAAGTAGGGCGAGCGGCGCAGCCCCATGAGCAGACCTGCGGCGCGACCCACCGTATGATAACGGGGACTCGCCACGTGTTTGTACCAGGCGCCGGCTGGCACCGGCAGCAAGAGCAGCAGCAGCAACAAGGCGAACAGAGGCCGGCTCACAGGAGCCCCCGGCCCGGGGTCCCGAACTCCCCGGCTCTGCGCCAGCGTGCTCACGTCGATGGCCCCTCAGCGGGCTGGGCCAGAAACAGGGTTTATGCGAGCGGTGGAATTAAGGCGTCGGTGCGCAGGAGGCTGGAGGCGAGTAGTCTGTCCCCCTGTGGGTGAGACTATAGCCGCTCGGGGGCCCCGCCTCGGCCCGCCCCCGTGGCTCAAGCTGCTGCGCTCCCCAAAGGGGGAGGAGGTTGGATGGAGAGAGGAGGGAACCCAGACAGCTAGAAGCATCTCACTGAGTGAGTCTCTGGTTGAACTGCTCTTGAGGCTTCATTGGGGGCGCCCTCGCTTACCCCACTCGTCCTCTTCTTCCTCCTCCCACACCCCCAGCAGGGGAATTGTCTGGGAGGGAGTCCTGGGCCAGTGGCAAAGGGATGCTCTCTTGACTAGAGTGCCTAAGGTGGAGCACTGCAGAGAGGAGAGGAGGCTGGCAGAGTTCCCGTGGGGTAACCTAGGAGAATTAGGATGGGAAACCCTGGCCACTCTTCTCTGAGAGTTGTCCTTCTTCCTGGCTGTCACAGCTCTCAAGTCTCTCCACCAACCCATTCCCCACTGCAGGAGAATGAATGCTTGGGGCCTTAAAATTGGAACCTGATACTGGGCACATGCCTGTCATCCCAGTTTGAATTCTGAGTTAAAGGACAGTCTGGGCTATATAGTCAGCCTGGGTTATGAGACCCTATCTCCAGAAAGAGGAAAGAGGGAAGGGAGGGAGAGGAGAGAGGGAGGGAGAGAGGAGAGAAGAAGGGAGGGAGGGAAGGAGGGAGGAGGTGATTTTGGCCATTTGAAGCTCCCGTTGTTCCCCAAGACAGAGAGTATTAAAAGGCAGCCCCTTCTGGCACCCTCAGCCCTTGCCAGCATAACTGGGCCCTTCCCACTGACCTCCAGAGCTTCCTCCATGATCATGCCTTTTCCCAAGACCACTTTCTCAGCCAAATTCAACTTAGGGGGAGGGCTTAACCCACAGCTTGTGATTTGCCCACCTATATGCAAGATCATTCTTCCCTTCTCTCCACCTGGAAAACGCTTAAGCATCCTTCCGGACATAACTGAAAAGGCCCTGGTCAGAGCAATCCTTCAGCCCATTCCTTCAGCCCCCTCAAAGAGAGAAGGGCTTGATGTAGTCTTTTCTGACCCTGAGTCCAGGCTAAATCCAAATTGACCATTCATAATAATCAGGATCCACCCACACTCAGCAAACAAGCCATTCCTGTCCTCTGGTCCCCAACACCAGAGATTTTTGTTTAGGATTATCATGTTTTTTTGTCTGTGTCTGTGTCTGTGTCTGTGTCTGTGTGTCTGTGTATATTTAAGATAGAGTTTATGTCAGGTGTGGTAGTGCACACCTTTAATCCCAGCACTCAGGAGGCAGAGGCAGACAGAGCTCTGTGAGTTCAAGGACAACCTGGTCTACACTGCAAGTTCCAGGCCAGCTGGGGCTATAGGAAGACCCTGTCTCCCTATAGACCAAAAAAAAAAAAAGACCAAAAAAGAAAAAAAAGTTCATTATGTAGCCCTGGCAGACCTCAAACTCACAGAGATCTGCCTACCTCTGTCACCCAAGTGCTGAGATTAAAGGTATATGCCACCATGCTCAGCCTGTTTTGGTTTTGTAAAGGTTCTCACGTAGCCCAGGCTGGCCTCCAATTTGCTATGTAGTTGAGAATGACTTTAAACTCCTGATGCTCCTGCTTCTACCTCAGGAGTGCTGGAGTAAGAGATGTATGTTACTATGCCCATCTTGATATACCTTTTGATCTTCAAAGGAAAGGAGTGAGGGAGCAGAGGAGTCACCTGCTCCTAAGGTAGGAGAAAGAATCCCAGGGGTTCTAACAGTTCTCTGAGTCTCACTGACCACTTGGAGGTCCTGGCTTGAATTCAGGTGATTAGTTTCAAATATGCCCCAGACTTGATACTGGTGAAGGTAAGGGAATCATTAAGTGCCATGATCTCTCCTGCCTAAGTTTCCTTCTTTAAAGCAGGGGGATGATGTTAGCAGCTACCTTATCTTGTTGTATTAATAAACCAGTAATGCTAAGAGTGATACTTGTCTGCCATCCCAGCACTTGGGAGACTGTGGCAGGAGGATGGTGAATTCCAGGCCTGCCTGAGCTACATAGTGAGGATCCTGGCCAAAAAAACCCGGTGTGGGTATTGGCACTGTATATGACACACAGTGGGCACGGTAAGTACTTATGGGAAGGACTCCATTGTTGCTACTACAACAACACCCCTCCTATCAGGGGACAACACTTCTATGGAGGTAGCTGCAGATACACAGGGAGCCGGCTCTTCCGCTGGGGGACCTCCGGAACAGGCGGGCTGTGCCAAGAGCCGCCTCCACCGTCCCAACGTGCTCCCCTGAGGCCCCTTGTCTTAAAGAGCAGCCTGGAGTGTGCCGGTGGGCGGATGGCGCGTCACGACGCAGGCGACAGTCAGGTAGCTAGGGTCCCCAGGGGCCGCTACTCCCGCCAGCTCAGCCACCCCAGAGAATTGCGGTGGAGCAAGGAGGGCGCGGGGCGCCCCCTGGATGTATATTGGGGAATGCAAATCCATATGAACACAGTTGTGGTCCATGCTGGGATTGGTAGGGCACATAGAAAGCTTAGTGGAGCAGGTCTGTAAACCCTGACATGGTGAGGCAGAAAGATAGAAAGTTCAAGGCCGCCGGGGAGTGGTGGTATATGCCTTCAATCCCAGCACTTGGGAGGCAGAGGCAGGCGGATCTCTTTGAGATTGAGGTCGGTCTGGTCTACATAGCGAGTTCCAGGCCAGCTGGGGCTACAGGAGATCCTGTCTGAAAAAGACTTTTTACATCGGTTTTTTTTTTTTTTTTTTTTTTTTTTTGATCTTTTAGGTAGACCAGGCCGGCCTCGAACTCACAGAGATCCACCTGCCTCCCCGAGTGCTGGGATTAAAGGCTTGTGCCACCACGCCCGGCGACTTTTTACAGCTTTAAAAAAAAAAAACTTTTATTTATTATTTTTATTTTATGTGTATTGCCTGCATGTAGATAAGTGCACCTGTGTCGTGCAATACCCATGGAGGACAGAAGAGGCTATCGGATCCCCTGGAAATGGACTTACGAACAGTTGTTAGCTGCCATGTGGGTGCTGGGATTCGAACCCAGGTCTTCTGCAAGAACAGTCAGTGTTCTTAACCGCTCTCTCTCCAGCCCCTCAAAAAGACTTTTTAAAAAGTTGAAAAAAGCAGCCAGGCAGCATTTGGGAGCCAGCCAGCCAGCCAGCATTTGGGAGGCAGAGGTAGGCGGATCTTTGTGAGTTCGAGGCCAGCCTGGTCTACATAGTGAGTTCCAGGACAGCGGGGGCTACAAGGAGACCCTGTCTCAAAAAAGACAAAACAAACAAACAAAAAAGTTGAAAAAACAAAAACAAAACAAAACAAAAAAAACAAAAAAAGCAAGCGGGGACAGTGAGACTAATAGCTCTGCGGTAGAGCACTTGCCTAGCATGTGTGGGGCACTAGGTTCAAGCCCTAGCATGAAAGAAAGAAAGCTGAGTGCAGTGGTGCATGCCTCAAGTCTTGTGAATTGTCCTCTGATTTATACATTTCTGGAATGTATGAACCCACCCACTCACTCACACACACACAAAATAAATATATGTAACAACAAAAGAAAACATTGAAATAAGGAATGGATAAGTCACAAGAAACACACTCTGCACCACTGCTTCCTGGAGCTTAAACACTAGCAACCTCTGTCCTATTCAAGGCTATGGTCTAATGGAGTGAAAAGTTCTGTGTTCAAGGGAAATATAAGGCCCTGGGCACAGAGGGCAGGTATGCACATCAGCTAGGATATGCAAAGGCAGAGAGAAGCAGCCGAGGGTGGATTAGGGGAGCAGAGCACAAGGTTGCCCAGAAAATCAAGGTACAAAGGAGATTCTGTTCCTTGCTCCCTTGCTGCCCAGTGTTCAGTGACAAAAGATTCTGCCTCTCACCAGAGATCTGGAGACAAAGCTCCATTGGAGTAGAAAGCAGCAATAGTCTGATACAACTTCCATCTCTTTGAGCTAGTATTGATTTCCATGGGTTTTTTTCTTTCTTTTTTTTTTTTTTTAGTCTTTTTGAAGCAGGGTTTCCCTGTGGCCCCAGCTGTCCTGGAACTCACTATGTAGACCAGGCTGGCTTGAACTCACAGAGATCTGCCCGAGTGCTGGGATTAAAGGCATGCATCACCACACCTGGGCATCTTTTTATTTCTTTTCTTTTTCTTTTTTAGACAGAGTCTTGCCATGAAGCTTAAGTTGGCCTCAAACTCACTGTAATCCTCCTGCCTTGGCCTACTCAGTGCTGGGATTACAGGCATGCCCACCATGCCCAGCCAACTGTA